ACCCCGTTTCTTGGCAACTGTACACTTTTACTGTCATGTGACCATGTATTTTGGAACCACCCATCATTTCTGCCAGACTGTGAAAATGAGAAACACATGGGGGGAATGGAAGGCACCCATTTACCGTATTGGCCCGAATATAAGACGACCGCGTTTTTTCAGATGTATTTCCAAGAAAAAAACATCGTCTTATATTCGGGACAATACGGTACTTTAAAAACTGTTTTTGGCTTGTCCAAGTAAAATTTTAGCATAACAGATGTAATGGTTGTTGCACGAGTTAGTGCACTCTCAGGGCTGGGTTGCGGCAGGAAGGGCATCTGGCGTAAAACGTGCCAAAGCAGTTGTGCGATCACTCCGCTGTGGCGACCCCTGATAAAAGGGAGCAAGCCGAAGGAAGAGAGAGAGAGAGATGTAATGGTTGTTACATCAAAGCAAATTTATCCAGGTCTAAAAATATTTGATACATATAGGTGATTTTGCAACATATACCATGCAAATCATTTAGCTAAATATTAGCCTGAACTGGTAAGCAACAGTAGCTATTTTTTCCAAAATAGCAGCTGTGGGGCAAAGTGAGCCAAATGCTGTGGGGTACATTGAGTCAGCATTTTAAATAAGGCACTGTAGTTAAGTTAAATCTCTGAATTATAAACTGGTATTTTAATGTGATATATTACTCGTTTAGTTTATCATATACATATTTTGTAGTTTATTTGATAGGGACAGTGTACAAGTGCACCAAATCCTTCTCTGATAAGAACCAGAAAATGCAGAAAAAGAACCAATTATCATTGCATTATAATCAGATGTATATTTCCACCTGTAAGTCCCTAATGGCCAACAAACTCTCTGTTTAGTCTGTTTTAGGAAGACTACAATTTTAGTGTTCAACATATTGTTTCAGAAAAGCAAACAATTAAATATTGACATTTAAACTTAATTTGGTTGGTTTTATGTTGTTAAAGTTAACTTCGGGAAAAGAAATATGTCTGTTTGTAAAAGGAAATTATTAAATTAGTTTTTTTAATTATAATTTATTTCACATAAGCTAATTTAATTTTTTTTATTTCGATTTTGGCTTCTAAGGATTATACAAAAGAAGACATGAGGTAAAGCTATTAAAAACTAGCTGCGTTTCGTCTTGCGCAACTTCTTTCCCTTCACAGCGGTGCACATTCGTTCCTCCCTAAAACCCAAACTTATTTGTCATATATATATATATATATATATATATATATATATATAACAAAAAGTACCGATACGAATACCGTTAAAGTACCGAATCAATAAGCAGTATCGGTAAGAGTAGTAATACCGTTAAAACCTTAACAATACCCATCCCTAGTTAGGCCTGGTGCCGGACGCTCTGCCACGTCCGGCTGCCGAGGGTGATGGAGGAACTCCATAGGGTTCGCCTTGTGGGGAACTGAACTGAAGAGCAGAATAAGCTCACGTGTCCGGTCCGTAGAGGGGAATGGCAAAGCAAGCGAGACACCGAGCAGTTCCTCTGGTTTTACTGGCTACTCGAGGCGAGTACACGAGAGGACATTGGCTCTACACGAAGGCTATAAAACCTAGCAGACGTGTTTGGTGCCACCCAGCCCACAGCTCTACATATATCTGTCAGCGAGGCACCTTGTGCCAACGCCCAGGAAAAAGCAACACTCCTTGTCGAGTGTGCTCTCAACCCAAGGGGGCAAGGTACGCCTTGGGTTTGATATGCCAAGACGATGGCATCCACTATCCAGTGGGCCAACCTCTGCTTGGAGACAGCCTTTCCCTTCTGCAGGCCTCCATAACAGATGAAGAGCTGCTCAGAGGTCCTAAAGCTCTGCGTACGGTCCACATATATGCGTAAAGCGCGAACGGGACAGAGCAAAGCTAGGGCTGGGTCTGCTTCCTCCAAAGGCAGCGCTTGCAGGTTCACCACTTGATCCCTGAAAGGCGTGGTGCCTTGGGCACATATCCGGGCCAGGGTCTCAGGATAACGTGAGAGTCAGCCGGCCGAATTCCAGGCACGATTCGTTGACCGAAAATGCATGCAGGTCCCCTACCTTCTTGATAGAAGCCAGCGCAGTTAAGAGCACTGTCTTTATCGACAGAGTTCTCAGCTCTGCAGACTGCAACAGCTCAAAAGGGGCCTGCTGCAATGCCATAAGCACCAGAGGGAGATCCCAGAAGGGTACGGGGTTCGGGCGAGGAGGATTCAGTCTCCTTGCACCCCTCAGGAACCTGATGATCAGGGCGTGCTTCCCCAGAGTCTCACCATCAACAGGATCATGGTGTGCGGCAATATACACTTTTAGAGTGGAGGGAGACAGCCTTCGCTCCAACCCCTCCTGGAGGAAGGAAAGCACAGCTCTGACCGGGCATGTCCAGGGGTCTTCCCGGTGAAAAGAACACCATTCAACGAACAGGTTCCACTTCAAAGAATAGGCAAGAATTAGTTCTGGGAACCAAGTCCGGTTGGGCCAGTAATGCGCAACTAGCAGGACCTGCTCCTCGTCCTCCCTGACTTTGCACAACGTCTGTGCAAGTAGGCTCACTGGGGGAAATGCATATTTGCATAGGCCTTGGAGCCAGCTGTGCACCAGTGCATCCGTGCCAAGGTTCCCCCGGTCAGGGAATAGAACAGCTGGCAATGGGACGTGTCTGGAGAGGCAAACAGGTCTACCTCTGCGGCTCCGAAGTGTCTCCATTTCAGTTGGACCATCCGAGGATGGAGTCTCCATTCTCCCGGAAGCGCAGG